TGAGAGACATATAACACTAAATTTGTTTGGACTAATCATGCGTTAAGCTGCTTTGGTATAAACGGCATTTCTAAGTTGCAGCGTCACCGACTTATTGATTCGTATGCTTCAAAGAAGCATAACAAATACTGCAGCTTGGTTATGCTACATTCTATCTAGGATATTTTACCTGAAAGGCACATCTGGCCTCTTGCAAAAGACACACAACAAAATTTAATTTGGTTGGAAGCTCTAGCATCTTTTACTTGTTTGCATCATCGGCACACAACATCTGGTAGGATGAACCCCGTTTAAAACTATAGTGCCAAAAGGCACTTCTAAATAATGTTTTGTGTGCATCAGAGATGATACAATAATCTCGTGTAAAATTGACTGTGCGGCGAAATGTTATTAATATCAACACAAACAGAGAGTTCGAATCTTGTCAAAGCTGTGCTGAAATTTCAGTATTTGTCTATTTGATGTTTGTTCTATGGCCTCTATTCCCTTCTCATGCATTTAAAGGGAAAGTAAAAAAGGGAAAGTAAAAGGATTGCTCATTTTGTGTTTATACTTTAGAACTGACGCAATCAAATTTTTTCTCGTATAAAAGATATTTTTGACGAATTTAAAAACGATAAAATGAATGCATTTTCGATAATCTTTGACCGATTGTACAAGTTCTTTTATTGTTTTAAATATGGTAATGAGATCTTTATATATATGGCTATTTGTTAAACTTTACTTTCCAGCTTAAACCCAAACTACCTGCTCAATAGAGCAGTTTGATCAAAGCCTGCACTGCACATTAATCTATCTTCCAAAAGCTGTAAGCCTTTATCAGACAGAACTGGTTACAAAAGCCTAATGGTCCCTTTTCGTATGACGTGGGTCAGCCATGTATGCCTTTATAAAGATTTAATGGATGGTCACTGTTCGATGCTTTTACTCCTTACATTCTTGTCACGGTCTACCTAGTTGGACGAATGTTTATCCAACTGACACTAATCCGGTGTTTAATCTGTGGACAAACATCGCGAGCAAGAAGACAAGCGAGTCGTAGTCGCCAAAATGTTCTTTGTGCAGAACAGGACATGTAAATTACACCTGGATGCTAATCCTTTAATATGACATCAAAAGAGCCATTTGTAATAAAATGATAGGCAACTTATATTGACAGTTCCGCTGATTTACAACTTGGGAATGGTTAGTCCACCGCATCCAATCAGAATTAAGCTAGTGGGTGGGCATACCTCAAAGTTTCGAGGATATTAAACTGACTCCATCCCAGAATTATTTAGTAGACCGAGGCAGATTACTAGGTGATTGCACGATTAAAGGCTACTCCGAGATACGCACTCGTAAATTTGGCGTGAATCGCAGGGAAAAGATTGGAACAAAGAAAGCTTCAGAAGGTAGATATTCATTTGATTTTTGACTCACACATTGCAACGCCGTAACTGTAAGTACTAATATTATGTTTACGCAATTACTAATAGTATTGTTAAAATGAAGAATTACTTTGTAGAGTTTCATTTGTGTACTTATTTTAGATTTGTATTGGAGTTAGGAAATGATTTATGTAAGCAAGATTATGAATGTATGTTTGAATATGTTCAGAGCATAGATAGTTGCATATTTATATATTTGGATGATTTGTGATGCAAAATAGATGTGTTGGTTATTATATACTGATGTGAATCAATTATCGTTGCTTGTATAAGAGTAATTGATATCGTGCTTTATGATGTGTTATTATGTTATGATTTTACATTGTGTTTACCATTCATGAATGTATGAGTATTTCGGTGGGAATGGATGCGTGACCCATGAAATTTGATAGCCTTATCTGATGATAAGTTATCTGGGATTAGTGTGAGTTTATGTGCCAAGCAAAATAGTACACCCTCCTTGTGTTTTATAGGAAGCTTTCCGGGTGGGATAACTTCAGTTAGAAGGAGAGTCCCGAGAGTCAGAGAGAAGATTGAAGTAAGACTGTCGGTACAGTCAGGGTCGACAGATTGGAGTCGACGGTTCGACGAGGAAGTCGACGGAAAGGGAAGTGGAGGTAGAGAGGAAATTCGAAGGAGCAAAGGAGGAGTAGAAGTGGAGAGGAAATTCGAAGGAGCAAAGGAGGAGTAGAAGTGGAGAGGAAAGTCGAAGGAGTAAAGGAGGAGTGCAGGAGAAATTTAGAGAGACAGATGAGTAGAACCAAGGACAGGGCGAACTTCTCACACTGATTCAAATGATGAAATAGGCACAAAGGGGTCGAGCGATTGAGAAGCTCGCATGTTGAAATTTTATTATTAATTAAATTGTTTTATTTAATTCTACCCCTTTGTACTTTTGTATTTAACTGTTTAATTCACCCTTTAGTACTTTTGGATTTAACTGTCGGCATTGCTGACTGGGGGCTCAGAACCATATTCACCTACTTAACTTCTGAACTATAATCGAGCATGGGTGGGTGCCATACCTAAATAAATATTGGAAACACCCCCACCCCATTTTCATATAACCAAAACCATACACGGGTATAAAAATAATTAGTTAAACCCCGTAACACTCAAGGGTATAACTAAAAACCCTACCGTAACAATTCTCTACATATGATCTAAGTTGAGCTCGGCAGATATAATTACTGGAATGAGGTTAAACAGTATATTGATTATTTTTTAGACAACGTTAAAAAATAAAAAAAATAGTTATTTATGTCACATGATACTATAACTAAGTGGACTAATGTCGTGTTTAAATGCAGTGTAAATAATACAATCGAGTAACTGTCTTTGCAATGACGGTGAAAATAAGGAGCATTACCCCTTATACTGTTAAAAACGCTACGAACTAATCCAAGTGTGATGTTAACTGTTTAAAATAATTATAATTATCTCATTGATTTCTTTCTTTTAGTTTTTTAGAATTGTTTTTAATTTTAGATCTTAACATTTATTATTAGGAACTGATTGCATAGCGCTTCACCAAGAACTTATTATATACTCGAGCTGCACTAAAAAGAATTCAGCTACTCAGCATGTACTGAATTTTCACTTGTAATATATTCACAGAGACAATAGATCAGGTCATCAGAAGTCGTCCTAATTTAGAGCTGATTTTTTTTTATTAAATATTCCAGCATAAAATGCAATCACCTCTAAAACAATACTACAAACAAAAACATTTTAGATTATTCCCAATCATGTAAAATATAATAGATGATATTTATATTAACAATGAAAAGGAAAAGAAAAACTAGCACCTTTATAGGTTTTGGACGAAAGTTTAGTTTTTTTGGAGATTAAAAGTCGGGTTGCAGAAGAAAGGAATTTAAAATCTTTAATATCTTTAAAGAATGACCAATCAGGAAATAATAATCTAGAAGATTATGAGTTGTCCCTCCTAAATGTTTTCTCTCAAGGAAAATCAAACCACAGTTCTGCTCCAGGAACTGAAGATCTTAATGCCAAGTGTTTTTGAAAATGTATAGGCTATGAAACACCAGGACTATAATTAAAATGGCGATTTTAGTTCCTGTTGCAATTACTAAAAGTAAAACAAATCTGCGTGACACAAGACCCAAACATTCATCGTTTCAAAGGTTTTAAAATTTCAGACGAACTGTTGCCTTTCTGAATATAACAAGTTCTGAACCGGAACATGTTAAATAACATGTTTACCAAGACATTCATTGTCATCAGTTGAATTCTTAAGTTGTGTGTTAAAATGAGTGTACATGTACATGTCTATTTCTTGATATTGTTTGTATGTGAGGTTTCTTTCTCGACTTGAGGGAAAAGACTGAGGATGTTCCTATTGTGATTACGTTAAAGTCTACATGTCTTATACTTCAGAGACCTGGGAAGCTATTTTATCTTTTTTGCAAAGTGTGTATACATGCTCTTTTTGTATATTTCTTGTTATTATTGCATATTTTGTTTTGTTGGTCTTGATTACTTGGTTGTTTGTGCATATCATATACCTTTTTCAATTTTACCCGCATTTTGTTTCTTTTCATTTTGATCAGGTCTGAAACAAATTTAAATAAGAAGTCTATCATCCGTCTGTATCCTTCCTTATCTGCAAAGACAAGTGCACTTCAGAAATGTGTATATATATATATATATATATATATATATATATATATATATATATATATATATATATATATATATATATATATATATATATATATGAAATTTTTCAATGGAGTACTGCAGGGCTTAAAAACTATTATCAAGATTCTACTTCTACTACACAATCTAGAGTCTGCTCAGTCTGGTATTTATTTATAATCTCTCTCTCTCTCTCTCTCTCTCTCTCTCTCTCTCTCTATATATATATATATATATATATATATATATATATATATATATATATATATATATATATATATATATATATATATATATATATATATTCATTCTGAATATCTAAAACAAAAATTAGCAACAACTTCAAACAGACAGAATTTGGAGTAAGTGTCCTTTTGGTCAACAAAAACTTGTATGTTATTCCCAACCCCAATTCTATTATTGTGTTTAATTGACATTGAGGAAAGAAATGTGAATATTGACGAATCAATCTTGGCGACATAAAAAACAAACACCCTGGGTCAAATGAACTTCATACTGTTCACCTTAATATACAGGCTATTCATGACAATCAACCACCTAAAAACTAACAAACTCTTAATGTGAAACATGTAATGCCATATCTAGTTTTCAAAATTATGTAATGCTTGGATACAGTGTGTGTGCGCGCGTGCGTGCGTGCGCGTGTGTGTGTGTGTGGTTTTGATTTTGAACGTAGCTTTTACAAATTTTCAGTCATATCACTATGATGTCAGTAGTGTGGCAAATTATAGTGCTGTTTATCATTGGAGCTAAACGTCGCATACATGTGGCATGGTGTCCCACCCAATCACATAATCCTGGCATCAAGCCGACGAGTCCTAAGACTAACCTCTTAATGCTGAAAACCTAGTGAGGCACGTTTATTACCATTTCTATACGTCTTTGGTATGACCCGGACGTGGATTGAACCCGCGATCTACCGCATCCGAAGAGGACGCTCTAACCACTAGGACACCGGAGAGGTCCGTCATTGATACAAAGAAATCTACTGGTATTGACAACATACTTCTTAATACCCTCCAATATGCTCACCAAATTAATGCTCAAAAATTGTCCTATTGTTACGCATCTATGATCTTATACTAAGTACCACAAATAAAACGTTGTGTAAAATTCAACAAATACTACGTTTTCCTAGAATTCAAATTGAAAATTTAAAAAGATCTCAAGGGGTTATGAATTAATTCTAAAATACTCCTAAAATGCTATCACAAGTACAAATGTATATAAAGTTCTAATTGAATACCAATGGTGTTCCAAATGAGTTCCAATTCAACAAATACTACATTTTCCTAGAATACAAATTGAAAATTTAAAAAGATCTCAAGGTATTATGAATTAATTCTAAAATACTCCTAAAATGCTATCACAAGTACAAATGTATATAAAGTTCTAATTGAATTCCAATGGTGTTCCAAATGAGTTCCAATATTTATTGAGTTGATGTACCTGTAGTCTCGAACCTGCTAATGTGCCAGTAGCCTGGATTGTGAATACGTGCTAGTGTCATTTGATGTATCATAATAATATAATTAAAAAATGTCCTTGTCTGAATTCACTGTAATTTCAATTTAACTTTCCTGTCCAAAATAATATTGATGAGCATTTTGTAATTCCAATGAATAATATTTTGAATAAATAAATCTACCCGAATGTAAAACTGAACACAACAATAAAACCAACTCTGCTTTCAGATGTTATGACAGGAATGAGTAATCCTTAAAAGACAAGATTAAGCAACAATCTACTAGGTCACCATTTTTTAAAAATACTCTGCCACTGAATGGAAGTTTCGATTCGAGAATATGGTATAGTCAGTATCAAGAATGTATCTTTTAACTCTAAACAGGCAAACGTATTTATATTGATAATGATCTGAATATTTAATCCACACTAACAGAGAAATATTAGCAGTGTATAATGTTTTCTACAAAATAAATGTCCCTGGTCAGGAACACAATGAATTTGATCTCGGACAAGGTCAAGTACAAACTACTGATACACATAAGGTACAGTCACTAAGAAAAGCCAGCGAATAATGCAAATTTAATATGCATAACAATACTCTTTAATATTTGTGCTGAGCAAAAAAAATTTCGAGATCGCCTTAAAGAAGCACAGGTAACCGCAATGTTCAAACTATCTGATCCTTTGGAAAAGGGTAACTACAGTCCAGTCAGCATGATACTTAACTGGAGGGGTGCCCTAGAAAAAAAACTCCAGTGTGTACAATACTAACGGACCTGTTTAAGGCCTTATACAGTCATCCTCACAGTCTCATTTATGAATTGATAACAGCACATAACACTCAATCAAACCAATTGAAAACTACAGGCTAAACTAGATTCTCATACAATAACTAGGATAAAATGTCCAAAGGAGTACCGCAAAGATCAAAACTAGAACTTCTCATATTTAATGTCTTATATCTTTATTAATTATATTTTCTACATCATAAAACAAACAAAGCTGTGTAATTACGATGTTGACAACACCATATCTTACATTGATAAAGATCCAAATAATGTAATTTCTTTTCTGCAGAATAGGAGCAAGAGATTAACTGAATTGTTTGTAGCCAAACCATCAGAAATTCCAAGCGATTGTACTTGGCAAACACACATAAAATGTATCCAGTTTCAGCATAGAAGACAATGTGAAATCCTTGGAGTAGATACTGACTCTCAAACTGACTTTTAGCAACCTTATATATAATCTTATATATAAATCTGTCTAATTAAAAGAATACAATCTCTGAGTTTAAAAATTCAGCTAGCTGATTTAGACCTGATAGGGTTCTCATTGTTAATGTCCTTTATGGTATCTTTTCAGTGACATTTCAGCTTTAAAGTTATCAATTTTACCGAATGTCTCCAGCTTAAATTATGGTCTCATAATGCTTACTTTTGTTTCTCTTTTATACCTTCTTTTAACATAGAACACCCTCATTGCCTAATATCTTATTAAATATTTTCTTTATGCATTTTTAATCAGTAAAACTGTCTTATTTCTATTATATTTGTTTTCAAATTTGTGGTGTTATATGTGTTCTTTCATTAAAAAAAGAAAAGTGTTTATATTCATGTGATATACTGTGTCTGGTCTCTTTAACTGTTGTTAATGTTGGCATTGTAACGTTTCCGATGTGTATTGTTTCACTTGAAATATGTACTATCTTTCTACCTATCTAATGAAATACAAATTATCTGCGTTCTCATATTCATGTCAATAAAATATCTCGCCAAGAGCTAGTGCTCCTATAACCCAGATGCTGTTATTGTTGTTGGATTAACACCATATTTCAGCACACCATGCTGAGGCCAGTGTAACTGGTGGAGGAAAAACCCGTGAAAACCCCGGTTTGAACCATCAACCCACCAGGACCTACTGATAAGCTTTCTTACATACCCACCTCGTCAGATATAGAGGTTTGAACCTTAGTGGACAAATGGGAGATTCCAGTGACCGGTATAAACGAGAGCTTTGGACCATTCCGGACAACTTTTGCCCAGATTACCAACGTTTAATACAATTTCTAGCATCGTTTCTAGGAGAAATTTCTATGTGTGACCTATTAATATTAAAGCTCTTAAGGTAAACAAGTATATTTGGAAAACTGGGACTGTTTCAATGCACATGCAGTGCTAGCGCGAAGGTTTGAGGCGCCCAGGGACAATGTTCTTTAGTGGAGCGCCCACTTTTTCGCAGACAACAGTTTTGTGTCAGCTGACAACATCCATCCTCTACGAAATGTAAGTTATGCAAAGAATTGCCACGGTTACATTAAGGTGAAGGTGAAATACTATGAAAATTTCAGTAGCCAATAAGAAACCTTTGTTTGGCCGTCATTGTAACTACGCTATTTAATATAGTTTATAATATTTGACCATGCGCAATTTCGACGTAAAATGAAGCTCTCAATCAAAAGTTTTCCAATATGATTTCTTTTGCTAATTATCGAGAAAGTAAATGCAAAATGGACGAACAGGTTTGTTTCCTCGATTGCCGTTCGGTTATTTGGAAACGATGCAATAATCAAGCCATGGAAGACAATAATAACAGCATCAACAACAACAGCGGCAAAAACTAGAACAACAAAAAAACAACTACTACTACTTCTGCTAACACCAACACCATTCGATGAGTGGTTGATAGTAAATAAGTATGTGATTGATACCCACTGAATGATAAACAAATAGACAGTGGTCGAGAAAAATATTTTTAGGTTGATAACGATACTTACAGGTAAAACCAACTGGATCAGTTCCACTACTGCAAATTAACCTGCTCCAAGATGGCAACTAGCACACACAGTTTAAAATATACTTATTTTGTGTGTCGATTTTAGGGGAAATGGTGACAGTTCACTACGGTAAATAACTGCATTGGACGAAACGTCAGCCATTCAAATCATCGCTCGGCCATTTCCCTCATATCGTGAAATACCCATGAAAGTAGTTATATGAATACATATCAGTTTGATGTATTTGGTATTTCGCCTCTTATGGAGTGCACCACATATTTTACAAATGCCGATAATATTGCAATTGTTACTTTGTCTCCTTCCCCTGTAATATAATCCCACGTGAGCAAAAGTAGTCCAGAATATAGTTCTCAATAGCAGCAACTTACTTCCGCGTTTTCTTTATCAACTTGACGGAAAAGTTCGAGGATGTTCCTACTCAAACCTCCTGACCTTGGTCTATTAGCCTGATTCCCTGCTTCGTACGCTATACGTAGTGCAAATGTAGGGAGAATATGAAGCAGAGAACCAAACTACTCTTGACCTTCACATATGATCCTAAGTGGGTTTTCCATGCTCAATATGACCGATTTCAAAAATAGGTGACTCTGGAGTATAACTCGTCCAGTCTATGCTGGAAGCCATCTGTAAGCAAGGACTAAGAAATGCCACGTTTGGTAAGAGAAATAAGACTTAACAAAGTATTGATTATTATTACCTAGTTAACAATAAGTGGTGGAATTACGTTTGTGGCGGCAGTAAAATATAATTAAGTTTTTGTACTAAAGTTTGACAATCATCAAACATGCAACACATTGTAAGGTACGGTGCTGCGTGAGACCAATGTTATCTGTGTTTATATCTATCTTAATATATGATTCTGTTTACAGTTATCAGAATGTTTGATGTATATATTTACTGGATAAATAAGCGTATAGTTGTCGGTACACAATCAATTTGTTTTTCAAATTTATCACATTTCAACATTGTATGGATTTAGATGTTTTTATTTTTGATTCAGTATACTAAAAGATAAAAGCAAAGTCACATAAACTGATAAGAAATACGAAAGGTATTTCGACACTAAACTCTACACTGAAAATTATATAAATAAAAGAAACGATTCTATTTTAAACTTGAAAGTTGTTTTAAATAAAGCTGAACTCAACAAAAAGTACAAAGTTCGAGAAATTCAAGACCGGTGTGTGCATGATAAGCACATGTATTTTTTTAAAGTGCCCAAGAGGACACGAGTTAAATATTAAATGAAACAAAAATTCCAATAAAGTGAAATTTTTTTCATTTTCTTTCACGTTCAAATTTGAAGGACTGTCATATGTTGAACGATGTCTTGTCTGTTTTATCTGTATGGTTCATGACCCAAAAACTTGGCATAGCCGGTAGAGCAAGAAATCCAGACATTAATCGGTGATTTATTGTTACATGCATTCAAATGTTTGCATAAGTGATAAGTGTGAATGCTCACATGAAAGTGCATTACCATACATGCAGTAATGTCAATAAAAACCGAGCTACAAGCGATAAAGTGTGTCTTGCGTACTTTAAGTTAATAAAGCGTATTCTAACATTAAGTGAGAATAGTACACGTGAAGCGACAGACAAATTGTAAAGTTATTTACGGTTGCTTCAAGTCAGTATTATACTTGAATCATCATTGATTTAGACCATTACTGACCATATGACTCTCTCTCTCTCTCTCTC